AAGGAAAGGAAAAGAAAGGAAAGGTCAATACCTTACTAAGTAGACCAGTCAGGAAACACAGCCAGATAAGCTAATTCTACTTTATTATAAAGCTACACTAACAGAATCTTCCAAGTCTGAAAGTACAATTCTCCCGTCATCAGTTTCACTGTCTAAGAACTTAGAGAAAAATCCTCATAAGCTTCTTGCTCCATCCATTGTGCAGCTACAGACTTTGCCGCCTCTTATCCACCTGTCCCCTAGGCAGTGTCTCTGGCCCCAGTCTTCTAGCATATCATGTCACCAGTTACGATGTGACTGAGGAATTCTGGGAGTTGAAGTCCACAAATCTTAAAGTTGCCAAACTGTACCCCTAATCTAGGGTGAAACCGGCTTCTCCATTCAGCCTTTCTTTTCATAGCATATTGCAATCACATCTCGGCAAGGAACAAGGAGTAATAGCTGTGTGAGAGATAAAAGTCTATTTCTGCTTTCTCCAGTTAGTGTACGTTTATCTCTGCCTCTTTGTTAAATAAAGGAGGCCTAAGCCTTATTGGTGGCAAATGGCTTAAAGTCGATTAAATTTGCACTGTGGAATTTGGGAAAGCCTAACACAAGCACGACTGGTTTAAATTTGGGACAGCTGAAAAATCCAGATAAATATAGGGTGGAGTGTCCCTTTAAATTTTAATCAAAACTGAACATATTGTGTATTGTTTTCAGAATTGATCTGAACATTTTAAAAATTTGGACTGGACATTGTGAGGGACCTCAATACAAAACATTTCTCCAAATTATTTCAGTTTGCCCTTTTTTATTGCTACTTAGTCTGTTCATTTGTAGCTCTTCTTTCATGTTTATCTACATAAAATTCTACGTCCAACAAATGAGGCATTACTAATGAGATACTCTAAGGAAATGCAATTTGGAATATAATCATCTACTGAAACCTCAGCAATTGCATGTTGTAGTTACATCCCATTTTTGAAGGCACAGTTCCACCGGAACGTGGGGAAGAAGAGAATATAGAATAAAATAGAGTAGAGTAGAGTAGAGTAGAGTAGAGTAGAATAGAATAGAATAGAATAGAATAGAATAGAATAGAATAGAATAGAATAGAATAGAAAATAGGGAATGGAATGGAATGGAATAGAACAGAACAGAATAGAAAATATGGAATGGAGTGAAGCGGAGCAGAACAGAACAGAACAGAATGAGACCTTGGATGTCTACTCCAGACCCCTGCGCAAACAGGAAAACCTATACTATTTCAGATAAGTGGCTGTCTAGTTTCTTCTTCGAAACCGCTAGCGATGGAGCCCCCATGATTTCTGGAGGCAAGCTATTCCATTGATTAATTGTCCACTAAGTATTGGGTACAAAATGTTCCTTTCTTGAGTGTGTCAGAAAAGTTACTTTTATTCTTAAAAGTAGCCAACCTGTTCAAAGCTACAACAGCACTGAAAAAGGTGACTTTTGACTGGTCCTCGCACTTACAACGGCTGCAACGTCCCTGCAATCAAATGATCAAAATTTGAGTGCTTGGCAAATTCCAGCAAGGATTTATGAAGGTTGCCATATCCTGGGATTGCATGATCACTATTTATGACCTTCCCAACTGATTTCCAAGAAGCAAAGTCAATGGGGGAAGTGGATTCTTTAATGACAATGGTGATTCACTGAACAGCCATAGCATCATACGTCATAAAATTGGGCATGACTCACTTAATGACTGCCTTGCTGAGCAGCAGACCTTCTGATCCACATCAGACCAGATGTAGTCATAAGTCGACCACCTTAAAATGTGTTCTTTTCCTGAGCAAAGACTTGACCATAGTAGCCAGATTCAGCTGTAAAAATGAATCCATCCCATCTTCCACTGGTTATGTATTTATGTATTTTTTTTGGGGGGGGGGGAGAATCTTCTTGGCATTTAAAGGAAAGAGATTTCCCATCTAAGCAGCACGTCTGCTAAAGAAGATAAAAGATTATTATTCTTTTTGGCTTTGGTCAAAATATGGATCTTAAAAGTTTGCATAAGACTATAAAGCAGCGATGTCCAATATTGGCAACTTTAAGACTTGCAGATAGGATCACCAACATGATTGCCAATGTCCAATGATGGATATGGCAGAAGGAGGAGGAAGAGGAAGAGGAGGGAGGAGGAGGAAGAAGAAGAAGAAGAAGAAGAAGAAGAAGAAGAAGAAGAAGAAGA